AAAAAAAAAAAAATAGCTTGGTCTGGCTTTGGTTTCCTATTTAGTGTTTTCTATGACTTTAATGCTTACTGGAATATTACTATAAAATATAATACATTTATATTTGCATTTGTCGGCAAGATGTTGAAGAGTCTACTTAAAAACAAGAGGCTCAGAAGAATTCCTGAAGTAAAAGACTCGTTTTGAGTCTGTGGCTAAATCAGTAACTTGTGCAAAAATTTTGGTAAAATTCTTTAATGTGTATTTTTCTCTTTTTTTAGGTTATTTGAGGAACTCTATGAAGATCATGGTGATACCTTGTCCCTTCAGTATGGTGGGTCTCAACTTGTTCATCGTGTAAAAACCTATAGAAAAATAGCACCATGGACCCAGCACTCAAAAGACATCATGCAAACCCTGTCCAGATATTACAGCAATGCTTTTTCAGGTAATTCTGGAGTCATAGGCATTTCTGAGACTTATGCTGATATACAAATTTCTTTTTAAACACGTACTTTTTTAAAGCTATCTGACTAAGGAAAATAAAAGTTAAATATTTTAGAAGTTTAAAACAGTGTCTATCACATAGAAGGTAGCTCAATAAATATTTAATAAATGAATGAACATTTTCTGTTTTAAATAGGAAACTTTTGCATTTGCGCACCCCTAATTAGCATTTTTATATAAAGCACCATACTTTAATTCTGTGTTCTTCTCTGTTTCTGCTTGAAATACAGGGTACACATAAAGTTTGTGTGCAGTTTACTATGTTAAACTATTTTAAATTGCACACAAGTTTTATGTCCACCCTCTATATAGATAATATTTTGAGGGTATTGAATCATTATTTTTTAAAATAGAGATCAAAGTCTTGACCATTCTCAAAGAATGTAAATATCACTGAAACTTCTGCTTGTCAGCTAGAAATGAATTGTAACATTGGGATCAAATTATACTCACTAAACGGTCCTTTCTTACAACTTGGGAATACTTAACGTTACAGGTGGTTAAAATGGCACTTTTCCATCTGTTCTGATGGAATTGTCAATATACTAGATATCACAGATCCAAAGGGGTTGTGGGACAAATCCCCATGCACAGAATTTAGGAAGTGCTTGGTGGTCTATTCCATGAGCCTTCAGCCCTTGAACCAGATTACGGATAAAAAAAGTTTGAAGAATATGGAGAGGATTGGTAAAGAAGCCCTTTGGAGTGAACTGTGCCTTCAGTGACTGGCCCCATTCCCACTCTACCTCGTGAAGAGAATGGGCTTTAACAGGACACTGCATTGACGTGGTATTGAAGGGACATCACACAGAGGGATGGGCTGAGGAGAGTGCTGCCGGGCCAGGAACTGCCTGCATTCCTACAGTGGGTTGGACCGAAGGGTACTTGATATGTTTTCTGGTGACCAGATGTGGGTCTCCTGGAGGAGGGTGCCAGCATAGGGTGGGCCTCCAGCCTAGCCATTAGGGTCCCTGGAAGGACAGAGACCCAAGCAGCAAGACCCGAGGTCAACACTAGGTACCTGTGGAGTTAAGGGAGGGGTTAAAAAGAGATGCAAGGGGACTGTGGAAAGTTCTTCCTGAATGGAACCTCACAAGCATCCACGAATCAGCTTTCAGCATTTTCTGGGCCCAGAAAGAATCCAAAGCCGGTCTGCTGTGCTCATGTTCAATTGTAATAGTTCTCAATGCTGTGTAAACAAATTACTACAACCTCTGCAGGTTCAAACAGCACACATTCATCACCTCACTTTCTGTGTGCCAAAAGTTAGGCACAACTTAACTGGGTCCTCTACTTAGGGTCTCACAGGCCGCAATTATGATGTCAGCTACACTGTCCCATCATCTAGAGGCTTGGCTTGGGAAGAATCAGCTTCCCAGCTCATACGTTGGCAGAATTCAGTTTCTTATAGTTCCTTTGGGCTGTAGGACTCATAGCTCTTGAGTCTGTGCAATGAATCTTGAAAGACAGTCTTGTGTAGTGTAATGTAATGTAATCATGGGAGTGACAGCCTATCATCATGGCCGCATCCCGTTGGTTAGAAGCAAATTGTAGGTTCCAAACACAGACAGGGGCATATCAATTTCCTAGGGCTGCTGTAGCAAAATAGGACAAACTGGTGACTGAAAGCAACAGAAATTTATCGTCTTAGAGTTCTGGAGGCTAGAATTCCAAAATCAGAGCGTCAGTAGGGCTGTGCTCCCTCTGAAGGAAGACCCATAGAGAAAGATCCTTGCTGCTTCTCAGCTTCGGGAGGTTGCTAGCAACCCTTGGTATTCCTTAGCTGGCCATCATAAATCTCTGAATCCATTGTCACATGGCGTCCTCTCCCCTGTGTCTGTGTCTTCATGCTATTGTCCTCCTGTGTCACTCCCTCTCTCTTCTTAGGAGGTCACCAATCATTAAGAGTCTGCTCTATTCCAGTGTGACTGCATCTTAACTTGATTATGTCTACGGAGACTCTAATTCCAAACAAGGTCACATTCACAGGTATCAGGAATTAGGACTTCAACATATCTTTTTGGGAGACACAATTCCACTTATAAAAGTTATGGCGGAGGTGAAGGAGTGTAATTATAAGTCGTGTGCCAAGGAGTACATATCCCCCTGGTTGTGTGTCTGCCCTCTCCTGTCATCATCGTCCTTGTAATGGGGGATCACTGTTGACACTAAAGGACCAAGTAACATACTTTCCAATAAGACTAGAGGACAGAGAGAATGAATGTGTAGCTGTACATGATTTTAAAAAGGAAGGAGTAATGTTAAAAGATAAAGATGGTCATGAGAAAATGCTGTGCACACACTGGAAAGGTGAGACACAATTATGCACAAGCAAAAAAGGAACCCCTGTGAAGAGAGCGATTTCCTGAATAATGTGGCTCAAACAGACTAATTTAGTTTAAGAAGCATAGTGTCAAGGAGTGTACAACTTATTTTTAAAGTACAATGGGTATTAGAGAATGACGACAATATATTATAGAATAATTTTCTTTAAAGCACTCAAGATAACTTTGCAAAAGTTAAAGTTTCCTCATGTTATTCTTCTAGTTTAGTCAGGAACATACTGATTAAGAAACTAGAGTCATGAAATTAGGTTGTCAGGAATTGTAGACACATTGATGCTATGTGGGTGACTTACCTGACCCTCTTTTGGACTCTTTTTTTTTTTTTGAGACAGAGTCTCACTTGTTCGCCATTGGTAGAGTCTCATGGTGTCATAGATCACAGCAACCTCAAACTCTTGGGCTTAAGTGATCCTCTTGCCTCAGCCTCCCGAGTAGCTGGGACTGTAGGAACTTGCCACAGTGCCTGGCTATTTTCAGACTCATTTTAAAAACTGTTCTTAAGGCTTCCCATACTAGCATGCTTGTGTCTGGGAGTTATCTTGATTAGTTTCTAACATAACTAGTTCCATGGGCAGTTGAAGGATGCCTTCTAACAGCAGTCTCCACCCTTTTGGGCCCCAGGGGACCAGTTTCATGGAAGATAGTTTTTCCATGGGCGGGGGTGGGAGGATGTCTGACAGGAGGCGGAGCTCAGGCAGTGAGGTGTGCCATGGGGGGCGGCTGTAAATGCAGGTGAAGCTTCACTTGCTCACTGCTGCTGCTCACCTCCTGCTGTGCACCCTGGGTTCCTTGTACTGCCCGGATCCTAATAGACCACATCTGTGGCCCAGGGATTAGGGACTTCAGCCTTATAAAGAAAGTACAGATGTTTTCCTTCGGGTGTTAGGAGGAGATTTTAATTCCCTTGAGGGCCTTGTTAAGCTCTAGTTTGATTTTACATTCAAAACTTTTAAGCCTCTAGTTTATTGCTGAAGTGTTAAATTCAAATCCTCTTCACCTGCAGCAGTTAGTAATAGCTCTTACTTACCTATGTATATAAATATATACACCTACACATATGTGTGTAATTTAAATGTGAAGGTATGTATGCATGCATGAGGGGAGCCATGGCCTCCTCAAACAGATTTATAGGGTACAGATGGCAAAGCTCAGCACACATAGAAAGCAGTAGTCACAGAAGACAGCACTGAGATGGCTTCACCCAATATTATGACAGTGCTTTAAGATACTGGTGACAGTCTCCCTCTCTGCTCACTGCATAAAGAGGGAAATGCAAGGAGCATGCTGAGGCCATCTCAATTTATCAAGAGTAGTGGGGTGGCTTCTCAACTTATCCTTCCAACAGCAAAACTTTGAGTGAAGAAGCTGTATTTCACTGTCGCAGAAAGAAAACCATTGAGTAAATGTTAGTTTTAATACCATGTTCAATAACATTGATAACTCTGGTTAAAGCCCAATTCTGTTCACCTCTCCTTCAACTAAAGAAGTTAAACATGGCAACAGAAAAAATTGCAACTTATTTCTCTCAGTTTAAACTGACTGTAGTTCTCTAATGCACACTTAAAGTTGCCCTAATCTTCTACATTTTCTAAGTATGTTTGTTCTCCTGCTCTCCAAAATGACTTCCCATACATTGTCCTCTCTCCTTAAACCTGTAACACCCCCATCTAAGCTGATGACCTTGCTTCATGCTTCAGTGAGAAGATAAAAGTCCTTGCAACTCTCTCTTGTTATCCTTTTCTGCACCCTTAGTTTCTACCTTATATTGTGTTACAGCACTTGGAGTGTCCCTGCCCCGTCTTAAGCCAACCCCTTCCTGTTCTCTGACTCCCGCCCCTTCTTGTGCTCCCTGTGACCATGTACCATGCTGTACTTCATCAGTTTCTCCCTCTCTAGAGCGTCACCTCCATTAACATAAAAGCACATGTTAATGTTTTCCATCCAACCTTTCAGTCCATCCCTAATCCCACATCCTCCTCTAGCTACGATGCTATTTCTCTGCTCTGTTGAGCAAAACTTCTTGAAAGACTTGCCTCCCTGGCTGTTTCTTCTCTCCTACCCTGTTCCCTTCACCCACTCCACTCGGTAACCGCCCTATCCTAACACCGAAACTGTACCTGTCAAGGTCACCAACAGTCTCCACCTTGCCAAATCCAATGGTCACTTTTCTCTCTCCATCTTGCTCAACTTTTCAACAACTTTTTCTTAAATTTCCAAGTGTTTTTGGTTACGTGGATTACTTTTATAATGCTTGTGTAGTGGCTGTAGGTGTACCATTCACCCACATAGTATTCATTGTACCCATTAGGTACTTTTTTTCCCCTCTCCCTTCCTCCCTCCTCCTTGCTTTCCACTGAGTTTTACTTCCCGCCGTGCACACGGGTGCTTACCAATTAGTTCCAATTTAGTAATGGGAGCATGTGGTATTTGTTTTTTCGATCTCGAGATACTTCACTTCTGAGAATGGTCTCTGGTTTTCCCTAAATTGTTGTAAAAGGCATTAAGTCATCCTTTTTATGGCTGAGTAGTACTCCATGGTATAATATACTGCCTCATCCTCAGAAGTGGCTCAGGTACCTCTGCCTCCTTCCCCGACACCCAACCTAAATGTCCCTCTCTTCCTTCCTCACTCTCCTCTGCTGTTTTATTTTCTTCATAGAACGTACATTCTATGAAAAGCCCTTGGCCGGTATTGCATGACTTTTCCCTACTGTGAAATGTGAGGCCCTTGGTGCCAGGTCCTTGTCAGTCTTTTATCCCATTATGCAACAGAGTGGATTCTTGAATGAAAATTTTTTTTCAATTTTTAAAGTAATATATGTTAGGCCAGGTGCGGTGGCTCCCACCTGTAATCTTAGCACTCTGGAAGGCCGAGGCGGGTGGGTTGCTTGAGCTCACAAGTTCAAGACCAGCCTGAGCAAAAGTGAGACCCCTTCTCAACTAAAATTAGAAAAACTGAGGCAAGAGGATCACTTGAGCCCAAGAGTGGGAGGTTGCTGTGAGGTTTGACACCATGGCACTCTACCCAGGGCAAAAGTTTGAGACTCTGTCCCCCCCCCAAAAAGAAAACAAACACAAAAAAGGAATATATGTTAATTATACAAATTATAAAATAGCTCACAAATAAATTGTATAATCCCAATCTTCCAGAGAAGGTTCATATTTAGGAGAACATGATCCTGACTATACCAGTAAGTTATAATCCGTTGTTGCTCTTGTAGGTAATGTGAGTGATCTTTATGACCTTAAAGATTTTTCTACATGATTTTTGTAGCGTTATAGGACTATATCCTTTAGAAGAATCATAATTTAATTATTTGTTATTGTACATTTAGAGTCCTTCTAAACAAATGTCTCTGAACATATTTTTGATCATATGAAAATTCTGGAGGCATATGTATTAGGTCAGAGGGTATAAATACTTTCTAAGACTTAAAAAAAAAAACCTGTGTATGTGTAAGTAGAGGGAGAGCCCAGGAGAGCACCAAATTGGCTTTCAGAAAGAACATAACAGTTCTGTGCTCCCCTGGGCAGGGTGTGGTCGTGCCTTTGAAAAGTATTTGGCCACTAAATAGATAGAAACTGGTATATTGTTCTAATTTCCACTTACTTAATAATTAATGAAGTGGAATTTTTCTGTGTTCGTTGGCTATTTGTTTCTTTTGAAAGTTTTGTGTACATATTTTTCTGTTAGGGCGTTGATCTGTGTCTTTCTTACATTTAATTGGCCTTTATTTCAATATATGTTATAAGGTAGACATCTAAATTTGTCACCCCTTTCCCCCCAAATGAAACAGTATTATTAGTTGAACATTTCATTTAATTACTGATTTCAAAGGCCATTTTGTCACAAACTTAATATTAGAATAACAAATATGTTAATTCTAAAGTAAATTATTTTTGTCTATTTGAAGAGAAATGTTGCTGAGTTCAGTGGCTCATACCTGTAATCCCAGCACCCTGGGAGGCTGAGGCAGGAGGATCCTTTGTGCTCAGGAGTTCAAGACCAGCCTGAGCAAGAGTGAGACCCTGTCTCTACTAAAAACAGAAGAAATTAGCTGGGTGTGGTGGCAGGCACCTGTAGTTCCAGCTACTCAGGAAGCTGAGGCAGAAGAATCACTTGAGCCCAGGAGTTTGAGGTTGCTGTGAGCTAGGCTGATACCATGACACGCTAGCCAGCAACAGAGTGACTGTCTACAAAAAAAAAGGAAAAGAGGAATGTTATATTTAAGCTTGATCTGTTTAAATATAGCGAATAATAAAACTGGTTTGTGTTTAATTGTTTGGCCTTTGAAGGATGTCCATTCTTTTTCCTTAAACGCATGATTGAAAGGTAATCATTTTGCTCTCTCATTGTCCACAATCACAGAGAACCTACTGGTTTTAAACTCTGGTCCATATCCAAAGAACTACCATCTTCCTAGAAGTGGTTATCTTATTTGCAGTCAAAAGTAGCCAGGAGAAGATGCTCGGTTCATTAGGGCTGGCCTTCTAGCCCAAGCTTCGTAAGTGACTATAAACATCACAGATGTATTTTAAGTTATAATAACATCAATATTTTTAAAAAGTCTTCTTTATGCTCCTTTGAAGGAGTATCTTTCTTTTTTCTTTTTCTTTTCTGGTTGTTTCTCATGGCATTTTATCGATACCATACTTGCTAAAAATTAAAGGGAGCTACTATTAAGTTTAAAGGATGAAAAACACCTTGAAAACATGGCTGAAAAGTGGAAGGCTTCTCTAGCTAGTGTTAAGGTATTTTGGAGTGCTAGATAAAAGTAGCTATTAAGTGCATTCAGGCTATTTTAGAAGCATAAAGTATGTAACCAGTACAAGGCCATGGGTTTACTTTTGTATTATGTAACCAGGGCTACAGTAATACAAATACAGTTGGGGCAGTAACGTCTGCATTATTTAATACACGATGTTTTCTCTCAACAAGTGGAATAAAAGGCCCATGTATATTCAGCACATAAACACATCCCTTTTATACATTACGCGTAGCCTGAAAGGTAAGTGGTATTTTAATGGAATGCTTCCTGTCAGAATACTAGTAAATAAAATATATGCTTGATGTACCATATTGATTCTTTTTTTTTTTTTTTTTTGCTGAAAGGTTGAAATAACCCAATTAGAACAATGTTGATAATTTCAGATGTATTCGTGTTTGCTATAGTTCAAAGAAAATGGATTTTACGGTAGTGTTACCTTATCCCCAAAGCAGTCATTTCTGTTGTGCTGTCTTTTTAGTCCTGTTCTCGTTTTTGTAAAGAGGTTATTATTATTATTATTGATATCGTAGATATCTTCCACAACTGAGTACCCAGGGCTTTGAGACAAGAATGGGAAGAAGGGAATGAAGGGAAAGAACGAAGGATACAGTGGAAGAGGACGTAGAATGGGAGGGGTGGTTCGGGAGACCCCTTCTGTGCCTACTGTCATTTTTACCAAATTATGACCAGGAAAAGGAAGTAAGATGTTAGAGTCCGTTTTACTAGCTCAGGATACAGTTTGAAAAGGTAGTTTTGGAGTGGTTGAATAGTTACAATGAGGCTGTTACTTATGTACCATCATTATTAACTAAGAAAGAAAATGGCCCAGGCTCACAGCTGAGGGGATAAAAATGTCGTAAACATTATCTCAAGTAAAGAAACGGAGAATATCTTTTCAAGGATTAAAAGTGGAAACAAATGCAACTGGCTGACTTGTTCAAGGTTGGAAACTTGGACAGAAACTGGGTCATTTCCTTTGATGTCTGTGCTTGTCTTTGCAATGAAGTACAGGTGTATTAACTTCAGGTAAACTAACAAGGGGGGAGGATATATTTTCGTTTTAAAAATAGTTACTGTCTAAGTTCTCTCGCTAAGAGTTTCTCAAAGTTCAAGAAGCAGTTTATGTTCACTACCCTCTCTAGATAGAAGAGGTATGGAGCAAAAAGGATATATTTTGAAGCAAGATTTTGCTCACAAGCTTGGTAACTGTTAGTTGTGTGTGTGTGTGTGTGTGTGTGAAAATTGTGTGCATGCATTTTGAAATATAAATACTACTTTGCTTTTCAGAGGTATGTTCTATGAAGTGACAGTTGTACTGCCATCCTCCTATGAAAACATTCCCCTGAGTTGCACACATCAGTCATGGATTCTCTGAAATACCTATTTTTGCTTTCTAGATGCTGACAGACAAGATTCCATTAATCTCTTCCTGGGAGTTTTCCATCCCACTGAAGGGAAACCTCATCTCTGGGAACTCCCAACAGATTTTTATTTGCATCACAGAAATACCATGAGACTTTTACCAACAAGAAGAAGGTATTTTTCTTCCAAGTCTATTATGTAAACTCAGATTTGATATTATTTCGAATATAAGAGATTTTTCTTTTTGGAAAATAATCACGTAGGCTAGAGCAGTGAGTTTCACTACATGTCTGCCGCGAGTTTAATATTACTGATGTCCCACTGGTAGGTTGGGGAAATTGTGGTGAGCAGTTAATATTTGGAGTCTTCTCTCAGTTTCCAAACTTCATCAGTGAGTGTAAGTTGTAGCTCCAGTGCAACAGAAGTTGTTTTTCACTAAAGCAAACCGGCAACATCATTTTCCGATCCTCTAGAGTCTAAAGGATTCTAAAGTTCAAGGACTCAATTTGGTTTTTCAAGTACAACATCTAAGCAGCTTGCGCTTGGTAAGTCCGGTGTTCTTTCCTCCAGGAAACACAGCCACTCCCGGTGACACTAAGAAACACAGAAATTAGAGCAGGGATACCAGTGTCCCAGAGCCACTCCCGTCAGCCCCCACTGACTTTGGCTTTCTTGACATTTGCCAGTACAGGTTATCTTGATTAAAATTAAAATGGTAATAATATTCTCAGAAGACACAAACCGTTTACCCGAAGCATTCTCCTTTCCAATCCAATTTTTCTGCCACTCGCAGTCTCCCCAGCTCTGATTTATTTTGGGCGGGAAAGAGGTTGGTGGCTTACTTGTAATTATGCTACAGTTTTAAAAGAAAAAAAAACATAACTGTGAGCTTATCTGATGATTTTATTATCTAATTTAAGTTACATAAAATAATTAAAGTGTTTTCGTTTATAATTTTTTGAGAGTAATACCTCCTGAAACAATCTCCAGGATGAAGTCCAGGCTCCCTCTTGCTTGTCTCATGGTAGAGAATAGTTTCTCTCCTTCCACCTTTCTCGTTTCTTCTACTGCAAACCATACAGTCCTTCGCTGATTTTTTTTTTTCATTTTGCAATGTAAAATGCATCTTCTAATTTAGCCTTTTCTCAGGGTCAGAAGATGATGGTCTTCTCCTCTTTCTTCAATTTCTGTCCCTCACCGTGCCCACAAGCTGAGTGATGAGAGAAAGGTGTGTCTGCACTTTTTCTCCACCCCCGACTGTTATCTAACGAGTAAAAGGTGTAGCTGTTCACAGCTGCAGCTTCCATCAGCCAGAAGAATAATTTTTTCCACCATTTGTAGGACCTCCTTATAAATCTGTTAATATCCACAGTACTTATCAGCTCTGTCCACTCTTCCCATAAACTTCGTGTACTCTACAATAACTTTTTCAAATTGCACAGGCTGTTTCTTCCTCTAACCAGTCGTCAACTGTGTTTGAGGGACAGAGACCGTGCTCAGCATAGTCACCAACCTCTTGTCATAGAGCGAGAGGCACGTGATTTCCATATCACATCAAGAGGCACAAAATTCATATTCCTAAAGTTTCTTCTTTTTTAGATCACTTGGAAAATCCTTCCCAGAAGCATGAGTTTTCCTATTCTATGTACTTTCATTTGAAGCAATTCCCAAGCAAATTGAGGGCTTGTGTAGAACCCGTCAGTGTAGATGGGACAGCCTGAACCACTCGTAAGTGCTGGCAAAACTTGTGCCAAATGAATCATTATTTAAGGTAAAAATGGCAATCAGAATAAATAAGACTTTCTATTGTTTTGCCATAATAGGGAATGTGAGAAGCATATAACCATTTTCTGAATCATGCAGGCAAAAAATTTGTAGGCCCCACTTTGTAGACTTCTTCAGATGGTAGCGCTCGAATTGAATCCTTCCTTTGTTTTTATTTATTTATTTAATTAAATCATAAACACATAGATCACGTATACATTAATGCATTTATGGGGTACAGTGTGCTGATTTCATATAGAATTAGGAACGCTTACACCACACTGGTTACTATATGCCTCATCTCGTTTACTTTGTCCTTTTGAACTGACTGTGCGCCCATCTGTAGCCACATAAAGCTCTGTGCATCTCTTGTCTGCACGCCCACTAACGTTCTCCGCCTGTCCCCTCAGGTACTCATGCGCTCCCGAGCTGTCATGTGTCAGACGTCTTCCAACAGTGGAGCAGAACAGGAAAATCTGTCCAACATAGGATCAGAAAGGGTTAAACAAATGGCTCAGGTCTTTTCCATTCCCCTGATCTGATGGTCTGATTCTTTATTCAGAAGGAAAACGAACTTCGGCCGGTTTGGCTTGTTTTAGTCCCTGGTCATCTTTCTGCGTCCTTCACAACACATCTCCATCTAATACTGCTGTCTTCCTGGGGTCAACATCACTTTCACTGATCTGCAGTTTGGGGAATCTATCACTCTCTCACTTTTGAGCTTCAAAACTACACTTGCCCATTCCTAGTATAAGTGCCAAGCTTCACTGTTGCTTAAAGCCTATTGATCTAGCTGCCCCAGGGCACTTGGCTGCTTTTACAGATGCTCTGCCGCTTCCTGCTGTCTCCTGGCTTGTACACAGTTCTTTCTTGTGTTTTTTTCTCAAGCATGAAACTTGTTATGGCTGGTACTATGTGAAGATAGAAACAATACCCAAATTAAGCAGCTGTACTTTCTCTGTTACTATTTCCAACATGACACTTCCAACATATAGAGCAATGGCTGACACACAGCGTGTACTTAATAAGTATAGAATGACTGAAGGAATTCTGCACAAGCAGCAGACTTCTCCTTTCTCTATTCTTTCCGTGCTCTAAAGCCTCACTAATGAAAAAGCAGTTTGAGGGTCTGTACCTTTGACATCGCCCAGGAACGTGTCATAAGTGCAGAATCTCAGGCTCCACCTACTGATTCAGAATCTGCCTTGTAACAAGATCCCCTCATGCTTCTTACGCACACTGAATTTTGGGAAGCACTGCTGTAAAGTGCGTATCAGGCTAAAACAACTTTAGGAGCCTTTCCTGTCATCATGGTCCTCCCCCCGCCCCCCCCCGCCCCAGTCCACTGGGCTTCGTGTTCCTTTCCCCATCCGTGGTTGTCTTCTGCTTGCCACCTCCAGGAGAGTTTCCTGTGCTGCTGAATTCATTTGGAAACTCCCCCCTTTTCTTCAAGATTTTATTTGCAATATTTTAATTTCAGCATTTTATTTTCAGAAATGCTTTCATTTATATTAAATTCTCTTTTTAGCACTTTTGACAATAGGCTCTTATTATTTTCAACCTTTGGAAATCTGTTTTGTTTGTTTGTTTTCTAATTCTTTTTTTTTTTTTTAAATTAGATCATAGGTGTGTACATTGATACTGTCCTGGGGTACAGTGTGCTATTTTTATGTACAATTTGAAATATTCTCATCAAATTAGTTAACATAGCCTTCCTGTCACTTTCTTAGTTATTGTGTGAAGACATTTATATTCTTCATTTAGAAAGATTCACATGCACCCTTAAAAGATGAACCATTGACATACCATTTCCTATTATTCCCTTTCCCGGCTCTCAGGAAGTTCTTACATGGAACTTTTCCTCTAAATACCTATTTCATCAGAACTTGATTTAGTATTGAGTTCAGTTTTCAGAGAGAAGGCAAGCCAGGGTTCTCAGATTCTCTGCTTATTGCAAACGAGCCTTCTAACAGAAATCCAGACAGGTGAAATTTCCTACCCTCACTCTGATTATAATCTAGTAGTATTTACCATTAAAGATTAAAGAGCCTATACTGGCTCGGCGCCTGTGGCTCAAGTGGCTAAGGTGCCAGCCACATACACCTAAGGCGGCAGGTTCGAATCCAGCCCAGGCTCGCCAAACAACAATGACAATTGCAACCAAAAAATAGCCGGGCATTGTGGTGTGTGCCTGTGGTCCCAGCTACTTGGGAGGCTGAGGCAGGAGACTCGCTTGAGCCCAGAAGTTGGAGGTTGCTATGAGCTGTGATGCCACAGTACTCTACCCAGGGGGACAGCTTGAGGCTCTGTCTAAAAAATAATAATAATAAAGAGCCTATACTGTTTTCTAAAGAAACTTGTTCATTAGGACTGTCCAATGCATTCCTTAATGACTTTGCCTAACTATCTTAACTATACACACAGATGTGTAAACATATAGCAGAGTATAAAAAGTAATCTGTCAGGTAATGATGTGCAGGGGACTCCTGGTTGGAGGATTTGATCCAGGTCTCACGGCTCACGTGGAGGCAGAGTAACGGAGGCACAGTCCTTGGGAGAAGTAAACTGCAGTTCAGAGTCAGCTGGGTTCACAGATACAAATCTTTTTCAGCAGAAAGTAGGTAACATCAGAGCATCTTGACTCTCCACTATATTCTTGGCATTTTTGCAGACGTGTGATGTGGAAAGAAGAAAGGAGTTGGGAAGGGAATTAACATGTTGAAGACCTACTGTGTCAAAAGCTTTGCAATCATGTTTTAAAAAGAAAAAATATTCACTTTGAAATAGAAGGTGCTATCTTAATATAGACCATAAAAATCTTATTACCTAAGGAATTATAGAAAACCAACATTTACATTACTTTCACTTTTTTTTAATTTTATAGTTACACTCACTGGTGGACACCAGAGGTAATAAAGCATTTGCCATTGCCTTATGATGAAGGTAGGTAACTGTTTCTCTTTAGTGTTTACACTAACATTTCAGAGTTTAAAGTAAATGAACTTGAACCTTTAAATCCTCTGTTAAAATATTTTATTAGAAAGGAACGAATGGGGTTGTGCCTATGGCTCAAGGAGTAGGGCGCCAGCCCAATATGCTGGAGGTGGTGGGTTCAAACCCAGCCCCAGCCAAAAACTGCAAAAAAAAAAGAAAGAAAGAAAAAGAAAAAAGAACGAATGGCTACTCAGTATTAGGTTTCTGTTTTAGTATAGAGGGGATTGCAATATGTATCTCTTACCTTCTTAAGGGTGGGGATTCTGTTATACATCTTTCTATCCAAGTAGGTCAATACCTTATCTTGTATTCTACAATTATTAGGTGTATCTTAAACATATTATAATTAGTATATATGTTACATTTCTACATATTTGAGGGGAATGGAAAGGATGTAAGGATCCATTTACCAGAAGAAATTAAAACTTTTTTCTGTACTAAGCAGTAAGAAAACGTACAGATGTGTGTAATGGTACATTTTAGTCACGTTTAAATTTCATTAATTTGTCATAGAGCAGGAGAAAAGTTATATTAGAACAGTACCCCTAAATGTACGTTACATTAGAATGATATTTCCAAATTTAAATAATTGCTGCCTTTGAAGTATAACTTAGTTCTGGCTCTGTTATTGACATTGGACAAGCCAGTTTTCTATTTATAAGACAGTTCCTGGTAGGATCTACTGCCAGGCTGGAACGCTCGGGTTGAGGATACTGTCTAGTCATGGTTCACCATCCCATCTCTGGGAGGGAAAGCCATAAAGTAGAAAGATTGCAAAAGATTCTTAGTTCTTAATAAATTATTAATTCATTTTGGAAACTATTTGCAATCTGAAATCCTTGGCAAAATTATTGCTCATATTGCTAAGAAAGTTTGGTTGATCTGGGAGAAAAAAGGAAAGGGCTTTAACTGTCTAACATTTCAAATCCTATTAAATCCATTAACAGAATTTTGAAATATAAAGGAAAACTCAGTGAAAAAGCTGCATGATTTTTAGCTAGAATGCAGAGGGAATCTAAGAGCAAGAAGGAATTTACGGAGTTCCCTTTAAGTAAATAATTCTGTGCACCCACCTGGGACTTTCAGAGGCCCTCCTGCCACCTTAGAACTTGTGGCACTCAGCTTGTCACTGTTTTCTGTGCATGCCTCACGTCTCTTCTCCAGGTGCAGGTGCTGGAGGAGGAGCCTCCCCTCGCCTCGTGCCATGTCCCCCAGGGAGCTGTCCCAGTGCTCTGTGTGAACCCAGTTGCTATCGCGTAAATGTTTGCTCCGTGTAATCAAAAGACTTTGGAGTAACAGGCAGTATCTCTCTTAGTGATCTGTGCTGCAAACTTAAAGAAGCTGATAGTGAAGAAATTTCACAGATATGAAGAAGAGATTGATATCCACAACGAGTTCTTTCGGCCGTATGAATTGAGTAGTTTTGATGACACCTTTTGCTTGGCTATGACAAGTTCAGCACGGTATGTCGTAAGTACTGTGATGCTGCAAGTCTTTGGGAATTTTTTTTAGTTGATGTGTATTTGCCTGCCTTTACCAGAAATCCATTCGGCAAGCCTGCTCTCAGGTGGGTGTTGAGCCTCTTGAGAACCCTCTGTGATGGGGAGCCCACTACTTCAGGAGGCAGCCCCCCTATTGTTAGACATGGAGGTGATTCCTCCCTGTTCTTAAATCGAAATCTGCCTCCCACTAGTCCTTGTTCGCCATTTGGAATAAACTCAGTTTTTTCACTGAACAAAGAAATTGGGAGCTAACATAAATTAGTGGAAAAGCTCAAAGAAAGACTGGGATATAAATCTTAGGTCAGCCATCGCCTAACTGTGTGACCTTGAGGAAATGACCCAAACTGTCTTGAGCTTTGTTCTTCATAGCTCTCTCTCTTTCTCTGTCTCTATCTGTCTCTCTCTTTCTTTCTCTGTCTCTGTCTCTGTCTCTCTCTCTCTATCTCTATCTCTATTTCTTATACACACACACACACTCATACTAGGTGCCCAATGTAGGTTGGGACAGTAGGTAATTAATAAATGGTAGCTATTATTATTCCTATTTTTATTAGGCAGAGAGTGCCCTAAAGGTCACCATATATATATACAGACGTAGGGAAAATGGGAAATTGTAGCTAAATATTTATTTACAAAATACCTATTATAAAATTTTATAACATATATCTTTACATGGTGATATATGATTAAAATATTAAAAGTACAAAATAAAATAGAAAATATAACGTAAATTTGCTAATTTTTCCTATTTATGGCAACCTTTGAGACACCCTATAGTTTCTTTTTGTATGACAGCCTTCTAGGGTTTTTTTGTTTGTTTGTTTTTGTTTTTTTGTTTTTTATTTTTTTTTGAGACAGAGTCCATGTCGTCACCCTTGGTAGAGTGCCCTGGCGTCACGGCTCACAGGAACCTCCATCTCTTGGACTTAAGCAATTCTCTTGCCTCAGGCTCCCATGTAGCTAGGACTACCAGTGCACACCACAATGCCCGGCTATTTGTTGTTGTTGTTGTTGTTGTGATTGTCATTGTTGTTTGGCTGACCCCGGCTGGGTTTGAGGCCACCAGCCTTGGTGCATGTGGCTGGCGCTGTAAACACTGTACTACAGGTGCAGAGCCAACCTTCTGGACATTTGAAGAAGCAATGTTATTTTTTTCATGATAAATACTCTTTATTCTTTCTTTCATAACACATGTGATGTAGTTTCCTGACTCTCCATCCTGGTCTGTCACCTTGGAACATAATTCGTTTTTGTGTGTCTCTTTTAGAATTTGATAGGACTTTTTAGGAAAAATGATGGGTCCAGAATAAGAAAATTGGGGAAAGCAAATCTTTTGTTAGTGTATTTGATACTAAAGTTTAAATCTTTATATTTTATTTGGATATGGTATGTATATGCTTAAGCTTTATGTGGTACATGTAGAAACATATTCTGTGCTTTTGTTTCCTAGAATCACCCTGCATTTTACTTCAGTTTCAGGAACAGTTTAAAATTCTTACTTGCTTGATTTTTCAGTTAAACTTGTTGAAGTTTAGCAGTTTTAACTGTATGGACTTTGTCATTTCTAGAATTTTTTAAGTCCACAAAGGATAAATGACAGATAGATAGATAGATTGATGATTGATTGATTCTTGGAAACTGAGACTTTAATTGAAGTGATGTTGAACGAAAAGATATTATTCACTGTTTTGCTTAAAGTCAAAGGTTTTAAGAGTCTATTTAGGGTATTAAGTGAGGACTTACTATAGTTGATTTTATTTGTGGTAGTGATGGTAGTAAGTACTGAACCATTTCTCCTAAGGGAAATGCAAGATTCAGTTCCTGTGAGCCTCTGATCACAATACTTTGTTAATCAGTCAATATTTTCATGTGAGTTTCTGTTTAAAGACAGAAACTAGTTTAAAGTATGATGTTCAGTTCAGTAAGTTAGGTGTATTAAATGCATTGGGAACTTACAATGGGTTTATCAGGACATAAGCCTGAGGAGCATCTATATATATTGTTGATTCATTAATAATGTACTTGCAGCCAACAGCACTATAACTCATGCCTGGACAAAGCTTATCTAATGTGTATTTTCTCCATAAAGCCCCTCAGAGCTGGCTATCCTGTGCTTGGTAACCTTAGACAGATTCAGCACTATGCTTGGGAACTATTTTAAACAGCAAGATCACCTACAAACAATGTGAAAAACATTCCAGTAAATAGACCATGGAAAAGACAGTTGTTCATGGTATGAGAACAGAAATTAAAGAGCAGAGTGCACCTTGTTGAACCTCGGCTGGGAACTTAAGCTTTGGACAGCTCAAATTTTCACCACTCTATGCATGTACATGTCTGCAAATGACTGCAAAAACATATGCATTGATTTAGCAGTGGTTCTCAACCTTCCTAATGCTGTGACCCTTTAATACCGTCATGTTGTGGCGACTCCAACCATAAAATTATTTTTGTTCCTACTTTGTAACTGTAAATTTGCTACTGTTATGAATCATAATGTAAATATCTGATATTCAGGATATGTGTTCATTGTTACAAAGGGGTCACAACCCACAGGTTGAGAACCTCTGATTTAGAGATTACAAATAAATTTTAATGAGGAAACAAATTCCCAAACACGGACACTGCAAATGATGAGGATCAACCATGTATGTTCAAAATGAAAGAAAAACTTAAGCCAATTACATCTTTAAAACATTTTCAGGCTATTAAAACAGACATTTTGAGCCAGATTCAAGTTACTTTTTTCCCTTCAAAAATTTTAATATTCAGCAGTATCCTTGCCAGAAGCCATGAGTCTTATCAGCATAAATCATGGAATTGTTGTCTTTTTGGTACTACTGTGGAATTTAATCTGGTTTCTGCAGTAAGAAGTTAGCCCTCTTATGATAAGGAAGAAACCTTAGCTTATCTCAGTAAGTGGTAAATTAAAAGTTGCTCTCTAAACTATTCCAACAGTGTTTTAATGAATTAATCTCAACCTAATTAGGTAGATGTTGATAGTTCCTTCAATTTGTACCACTGTGCTTTTGATAATTATGTCTTCCTCCTTAAGTGGTGGTATGGCTTTCAAATATCCATAAAACTGAACAACTTAGTATTTTAACTCTGGCCTTTGTGAGTTTAATTTTACCTGAGAGCTATTTATGATATATAACTGGATGGTATACATTCTAGCAGAAGTTCAGATGTCAACACCATTCCAGTGAACAAGAGCTTAAATTCCAACTATTGGACATTGTAATAATAGAAGATCCACAGTGAGGTGAAGACTGATACCAATGAAATTAGATAATGCTGTTACTTTGTGGGATTTGTATGGCTATGATCACCTAAGCATTTAGCTTGGAATATATGTAGCTCTAAGAGCTAAGAAGGAACATTACGAGAGTGGTAATTGAAATGGAAGTCAATGTCATTTGGATAGACAGTGATTTGTGTGGAATTTTTTTTCATCTTTCTTCAGTGACTTTATGCCTAAGACTGTTGGCATTGATCCAAGTCCATTTACTGTGCGTAAACCGGATGAAACTGGAAAATCAGTATTGGGGTAAGATATGTGTATACAATGAAATATTAAAGACTCATGTAAAGTAATTTCCACCAAAACTAATAATCTGATCACATTATTTGGGACACAGTTCACTTATTGTATCTACATAAAAAGGTTATAGCGCTGGTTTCACTGAAGTATTCCACCCTGAAGGTAGAATGTATGGGATTTCAACAATGCAGTGTATTTTATTGGTTTTAATTGGGAATATCCGATGGCATAAAGGCCAGTAACAGATACTTGTGTTATATCCTATAAATAGCTCAGTGTTCTCTGTTTCCAACATAAAATACTTAAGCAAAAATTCCTATTTATTTTATTTATTTTTATTGGATCCTAAGGAAAAGAAAAACAAATACAGTCTAACAGGGAACTCAGTGGATTTTCTGTGTATTACTGTAACATTACCAGCGGGGTGGGGGGGGACTATCATTATATCCAGTGAAGAAGGTTTACCACATCTGTATCTTCGTACTTAGACTGGAGTGAAATGTGTTGTTTTCTGGGATAAGAATCTCTGACTACCTAGTCCCAGTGATAATATTTCTTCTAGATTCTGGCCAGGAAACTGGCCAGGCTATAGATACAGAGTCCTAATCATATTTGGGGATATCTGTGGGGTCTTAATAAGATTGTAGCCACATTGAGTTTTTACAGTGGGACAGATACACCATTTCTGTGGTGGACAGATGTGGCCTTTATATCGTTCATGTTAAACCTTGACTAGGTGCTGAGAGGAATTGAAAAGAAGGAAAGACTTCAGGTGTATACAATTCAGGGAGTTCCCAGGACAAATGAATAAATGTCCAGCCATATTCGTTTGTAGCATAGACATGCTAGTAACTTTAATTTTTAGTTGCAAAGAGTCAGAAACGAATTGTTTTCTACAATATCTAATACATAGACAAAATTGCATTTTCCTTTCTTACAACTTTTCAGAATATTATGGCATTTTTAGTTTCTTCTAGATAATTTTTAAAGTATGAATGAAATAATAAACATTTTTTATAAATGTGAAAAGTATCATTATAAAATGTTTTCTGAACTTAAAAAAGATATCCTTAAAGCACTGTCTTGGGTAGGTGAAAATAAATAAGATATTCTTAGTATTCTCAAATTTGACACTAAAATAAAAGTAAAGAATTGTGTAAATGCAGTTTTTTTTTTGTTTTTTCCCATCTATTTCCTACTCTTCAGTAAATATGCTTATTTACTGATAACACAATAAATGTTAAGGTCTAGTTTATATTCATGAGTAAAAATTCATAGGAGAAAGGCAAGTGTACCTGGAGTCGATTGACTTTTGATCTTTTCATGAAGCTTTTATAAGTTATAGATAGTTTTGCTAATATTTCAAACATAAAATTTGAAAATATCCAAAGCAAAGGAAGGCTCAGCCATCAAATGGTGAGACTTTACTGCATTCTGCAAGTGCATATTGGTGTATTTTTAAAAGTTATAACAGGGCTTACATTCATATAAGTTCAGTATATGTACATAGAAAAATATTGAGCTTTTCCCTGTAGCACAACTTGAGTCCAGGAATTAATTTCTCAGAGTCATTTTCTCATGCATCCTTAGGACTAAGGCTTTAGGACAGAGTGATACATAGTGCTGAGGGCTCGTTTAAAGAGGCTTCACATCCATATTCATCTTTTTAAAGAAACAAAAGCAATAGAGAAGAAGCTATACTACAGAGGAAAACAGCAGCCAGCGCCCCACCACCCCCCAGCGAGGAGGCTGTGTCCAGCAGCTCTGAGGATGACTCTGGGACGGACCGGGAAGAGGAGGGCTCTGTGTCTCAGCGCTCCACTCCTGTGAAGATGACTGACACAGGGGACAGTACCAAAGTGACTGAGGTGCGGGGGAAGGAGACTTACACAGTCTAGCCTGAGGCTCTGGAAAATGATCTTTAAAATTCTGCTTTCAGTTAAAAGGCCGAGAGCAAGAAAATGTCCTGTTGTCTCACTCACACCATGTTCATGTTAGCATGTGTTGGCTGAGGTGCCACGTGAGATGAGTACATTTAGTGTAGACATAATCAAAAAGGGTTTATATTTTAAAATAAAACTGATGTCTTTGCTCCCACATATAATGGTGAATTTCTTACCACTACAGAATTTTTAAGGGAATACTGTCCCTCTTTGAGCGGCCCATCTACTTGAGGTCCCCTTATTCCTAGGATGTAGGATTTGGACCTGGCCCTCACAATCTTTGAATAGCTCCAATGGGAAATTAATCTGTTCAGTTCAGTATTAGCACATAGATGGCCACCTCCCTACCTGGACACCTCCTTAACTTGACCTAATTTTCATAGACAGACATGCACCCCATGTATGTATCAGTACAGTTGGCAGTTTGTTACCGTCCCTGGGGTGGCCAACTTACACAGGTTCTATGTTAAGGGAAGAACAAATGGAACTAAATAACAAAGGAACCAAATCCAGCTTTGAGGAAATTTGATTTCTAAAAATAGCCAAAAGTCATTTAGAAATAGATGCGGCAAATAGAAATGTGCTAATACCAGAACTGAATCTATATTCCAGGAGTTGGCAAACTACAACTACAACAACTGATTGGCCAAATCCAACCTACTGTCTTTTTTTGGTAAATGAAGTATTGTTAGAACCCAGCCTACTTGTTGATGTGTCGAATGTGACCACCTTTGTGTTACAGCAGCAGAGCTGAGTAGTTGCAACAGGGAAGGTATAACCCAAAGAGCTTAAAACATCTGCTACCTTTCCTTTTACAGAAGAAACTCCTGTATTATACAAAAGCAACCTAGTAATTATTTAACAGAGCTTTTTTACATCCCCAAATAAACTATTTTTAGAAGAAATGGAAATCAACCCTTTTTAGTCCATTAACTGAGAAGTTTAACAAACAGATTAAAGAAACACTGTGATTGCTTTTGTGGAAAAATTCACAGGTTCATTTTTTTCATCTTTGGAAATTCTTCATATGTTCAGTGTCTAAAAATTCTTCCTGGTTCTTTTTTCTTTTTTTCACCCACAGAATGTTGTCCAGCCTATGAAAGAAGTATATGGAATTAACCTCTCAGATAGCCTCTCAGAAGAAGATTTTGCCATTTATTCAAGGTAAGATATTTTCATGTAGAGATGTAGGAAAAAATGCCAATTTATGATTATGAGTAACATGTCTAGTTTAGCTTTTAAAAAAGTGAAAATAGTCAATAGTACAGAAGGAAATGGATTTCACTTGACAGCATTTAGGGGGTTAAATTCTAAAACATTGATTTATATTTGGAGTTAAAGAGCTAAGTACGTGAGCCTCAATGATAAAAGTTTATAATGCATACAGATATTTGCGCTGCCCAGGTATAAGCTGCAAACCAAAGTACAAATAGATTATTATTTTTTTTTTATAGACAAATAGATTATTACATTCAGATCCTCAAGATCAAGGTATCTTTTTTTTGGCTGGGGCTGGGTTTGAACCCACCACCTCCAGCATATGGGGCTGTTGCCCTACCCTTTTAAGCCACAGGTGCTGCCCCAAGATCAAGGTATCTTCTTATAAAATAAATCTGAGATGTTAACGAGAATGAGGATCTTGGATTCTCGTTAGCTCTGGGATGCTGGTGGGAGTGGTGGCTGAGGAGTAAAAGGGAGCAGTGATGATAGGGCACCAATTCACAGCGTTACAGACCATCATTAGGCAGATCGAGGCAGGAGGAGAGGATCCCCCCAAAGGTGCTTCCACAAATCATATGCATAATTTTGTATGTGTGCTCTTCTGCAGAGATGTATAGTTATCAGATTTTAAAAATGATCCTTCACCCATAAGTCCTCAAGAACCTGATGAGACGGCTGCAGACCCCTCATCAGCATAATACACGCATTCAGAGGACTTGATTATTGCATGTGTACGTAGGTCCACTTCACACAAACTTGGCCGTGTAAAGTGTATACCGTAACATGAGCAGTAATCTCCAGTTATTTTTTAAGGAGGGTATTTCATTTGCAGAAACCATTGACCTAGATATTGTCAGCTTTTTATTTCAAACTAATCAGATCTTCTCAATAATAAATAAAATATAAAAGGCACAGCATTTCTTGATGGTAGAGGCAGCTCCCATAACCTACATTTTTGTGACCGTGCATCATTGCCTGGCCAGAAGCCAATTTAGTCATCCAGAACACAGCCAGATTCTCCCCATTCCTGGACACACACATACACACACACATACACACACACAGGGTCCTGGGGCATCACGGCTGTCAGAACTCCGTAGCTAAACTCTTTTGTAGCTGAACTGGGCCTGTATAAGTAACATGGTCTACAAGCATGAATTATCTGGGGTTGGTGACTGAATAATATGACTTTGCTTATTGCAGAGACGGTATGTACGTATGTCAAGAACTAAAATTTTGCCTCAGGCCAGTTAAGCAAAAAGAGTGTCCCCTGCCTGAGGCACGACTTTCACCTGGAGCCTTATTAGCTCAGATGGCTGCTCCAGCCCACTTTTAGTTCTCCCTTCTCAAGAAGAGAAATACAGTCCTGTTCAGAACAGTCTAAGAAGGTTGCAGGAGAAGGGGTCAGTGCACGGGTTCCTCTTACCCACATTCTGCACCCCGTGGGCTGATGGTACCCACTGAAGTTTGTGCAGCTCATGGACAGTGCCCTGGCCTGGCTTACAGGTCACAGCTTCTGCCTGGCGTCCCCCAGCGCCCTGTAGGGAAGGGAAGCCATGCAGCTGGCACTGGTTCTTGTAGCCCCTCATCCTGCCTCCCGTCCTTCTGCCTGTTTGTCCTGCACTGGGCCTCGGTACCTTCAGACTCCGGGTTTTGCAGTGTGATTCTCAGTGCTGAGCCCTGCTCTGTCTTCCTTCCCCTCATCTTTTCTAATGTGTTTGCTTCTCTGTCTTAACCAGACCTAGAAGCTTTCTCCTTACTTCCTTGAAGCCTCATATACCTGTCAATTGGTTTTTTCTTTTTAAATTCTGACTGGGTATGTGCTTGATTTGTGAGAAAATACAGTTCTGAAGAAATAGTCAATGTTATCTGCCAGTCTTCTCCTGCTAAAAAAAAAAACATTCAGAATTTTTTTCATTTCTGAAGATAAAAACTGAATAAAAGTAAGCCACTTGAAAGTTTTTCAGTAGCACCGTAATGATTTAATAATTTCTGTGCTTTTCTTGACCTTTATAAAAGCTAATGAAACATAAATGATAAACTTATCCATAGTCATCAAAAGAAAATATTTTTAAATAGAGAAATGGAAAGGAAATTAGCTCTTTAATCCTGCCCCATAACCTTTCATGGGCACATTAGAACAGAACTGCAAAACGACATCCCTGGGGGAAGATGGGTGCATGCAGCAGAGGCAGCTTCCAGCAGGAGTGCACTTGGGAAACAGCTGCGTGGTGTGCTCCAGCCTGCTGAGCTGGCCTGGCCACTCCCTCTGGCTCTGAGGGTAAAGCCTGCATTAGTGCTGTCCATGGCTTCTGGGAGGAGGGGTGTGTGGCCATGGTACACCCCAGCTGGTCCTCCATCTTGGTTGGAAATGTTCCTCTGAGGAGTGATGGGGAGAGCCGGGTCCGTGGCCAGGGCTCTCAGCAGCATCCCTGCTTCAAGAGGCGGGCCCCTCACTCCATCCTGCCCTTGCCACACCAGTTGTCTCACTGTAAGCACCACCCTGCAGGCCTCCGCTTGCTTTCTGCATTCCACGGTGAGATGTGTGTCACCCTCAGATGCCGCAGGCTCTGAAAGATCATCTGTCCAGCTTCAGGAGCATTTCTGTTCAAGTTCTGCAGTATGGTTAAATTAATAGAAATGTAATAACGGGCACATTTTATTTCATTCTTATATGTCTGGTTAGACTTCCATTTTAAGGATAAACCCTTCTCCTTTACTTCTAACAAACCCACTCTTAATTCAGGCAAAGTTTCTCATTCCGTAAAATAACACTGATGTGCTTTTCTGGAATAAGCATACTACTGTCGTGCGAAAGCTCACACCATTTTGTGTGATCTTCTGAATTACTTGTAAGCGCTTCCTCCTTTAGCTTACTGTTATCCATTGTAATTTTAGGTTTGTTCAGCTGGGGCAGAGTCAGCATAAACAAGACCGGAGCAGCCAGCAACTCTGTTCCAGGTGCTCGGATGGAGTTATAAAATTGTAAGTTATAAATTGTAGTGTGGCAGGCCCTTAAGGAAATCTTCGTAATGATGTCATTCATAGAGCTTTTATTAGAAGGCATTTTAAGAAAAATACTGTCTTGTCACCAAATTAGTATAAACACTAAAGGATCTCCTCCTATACCTTACTCAAGGAAAACCAGGTCTCTGGGGAATGAGGAAGAGATGGACAGCCTTGATAGCACTTGAAATGCACCCTTTGGAGGTGGAATCAGAGTCCGTGGAGGCTTTCTTGAGAACTCTGCCCTCCACTGGGGAGAGGTGGGATGATGAAACTGTTCTGCCCCTGGAGGCAGGCTCCTTAAGTTCAAGGCAAGACTTTTGAGGGCATGGATGGATTTGTCTCTTCTAGCTATATGTCATCAGTTCTGATAACTTGCTATAAGTTAAAAGATGTTGTGTTCTTTGAACTATGTTGAAAGCATCCTGGTTTTTTACCTTGAGCAAATTAAGTGCTGTGTGGCTCAGTTTTCTCATCTGCAAAAGGGAATAACAAAATCAGCTACTTCGTAGGAAGGTGAGGAGACGTAAATGAAATGATGCATATAAAGTGCTTAGAACAGTGTCTCAACTACATTCACAGGAAGTTGTGATCATCACCATCATCATCATCTTCATATTTATCATTATTCTCTGCTTCTTGGGACTAAGAGGATTCCCTGATGCCTGTGTGCAGTTGAGTTTCTTCTATAACGGGTCACTGTTGAAATTGAATGAGGTAGTGGATGTGAGGCATCTAGATCAGTAGCTGGCATGTAGTTGACATTTAGCAAATTTTTCTTTCCTTTGCTTAGACCAGCTTTTTGCCAGTTTGGTTAATGAATTATGTATTTAATAGGTAGTGATTGCCTAACTTCTGTGTCCTACATCTGCATGTTTCTGATTACTGGTTCAGAGGCTGTTACAGTAATCCCGGCAAAAGCCTTAGAGAGTAAATGGCTGTGAGGATTTTGAGAATGGGGTGGCTCTGGGAACTATTTAGGAGATGAAATGGGCAGAACGTGGATCCTGATTTATGGATGGGGAGGAAAAAGGTGTCATCAAAGATCATCCTTAGGTTTTTTGATTTGTGTAACAGGTTCGACTGATTGATTCATTCATTCACTTATTTAGCAGGTAGCTATTCGGTCTGTCAATGTTAGGACCATTCAAAGCTGCCATTTACGGAGGTAAGGAGAGCTGCAAGAGGATCCAATTTGGCTTTAAAGTAGCATAAAGTGGAGGAACTCAGAAGAGAGCCTGGGCTGGGGAAGGAAATAGTTGTGAGTGATAATTAAAGCCACTAGGTAGGGTGGAGATTGCCCCAAATGAGAGACTAGAGTGAGAGTATCTAACAGCCAGGGCAGAGAGGGAGAGAAAACCTGCAGTGTAAACAGAGATGGCTAATCAGAGTAATGGAAGGAAAACCAGACAGGATTTTATCACAACCTCCACATGGCTGTTTATTCCTTCTCTTTTTCCCCTATCACTTCTTTTTTCTTTTTGTCTCTCTTTTCTGGCATATATACTCCTATTAATTTAAAGATCATTTTGGGGTTCCCAAATAAATTGAGATACATGTGGCCAAAGAAGGAAATTCTTTAACTGTGTTAGTAAAATAAGAGACTTTGTTGACCAAATTGTTTATACAGATTGATTCTCGTATTAAAACCGTGTGGTACGGCTCATGAGGAGAGGAGGAAATGAATATAGCATATAAAACAGAACCGCGTCCCTGTTTTCTTCAACATGGTTTCTACTCTGATGTAAATTGGCTTCTTACAGTTATCACTTTCACATTCTTTTTCTTAAAATATTTAATATTTTCTTTTCTTAGTCCTGGCACAAATGAAAATCTCATAGATCTAGAATTTTTTAACCTTTTCCACTTAATTAGTGAAGAATCTATCATAAGGGTTTTGCACAGCATCTTCAGCAAAACAACAAAGAGCTGGGCAGGCGCTGCTTTGTGTTGCCATGGCAACGGCCCAAGAGTGTTTTTGGTGTTTTATTTGGGGGTAGGGGAGGTATGTGTATGCTTTAAATTGAAACTCTGCAACCAGGTTCTTAAAATGTCAACTATTCATTTTTAGCCTTTTAAGCTATGCCAAAACCAAGAGAAATTAGGTTTATATGAGATTCTCGAAATTCTCCTCGTGTTATGTTTTAGCTTATAGTATATTTAAAAATCATTCTAAGTTCATATACATATGTATCTGCTCATCTCTGGATAGTTCATTTTATTACCAGTTTTTCTTGAAATCACGAAGCAAACCAATTTCTCTTTTCTAAATACAAGGTATTTATGATACCAAATGTAAAAAAATATTGATAGTAAATAGCTGGCCTGAAGCCAGTGGAATGGGGACTCCTGATATGGGAGTATAGAAATCTGGATGCTTTCACCCAAGGCCGTGCAGGACATTGCCTAGAAATGGATGCTAAAGCCCAAACTAGTCAATGTGTGTGCTGTCAGTCCAAGGACCCAAGTCTTATTTTACCTGCACGTAAAATACAAGTACCTCCCTGTGCTTCAGACCACTCCCCGAGTGTGTGGGTGGTGATCGGGAGAACTGACATCAGCCAGCATTAACCAAAAGCTCCATGTGGGATGGGTACCACTCTGTGTACCTTAACCTATATTAACTCAGTTCCCACAATGACCTTATGAACTAGATCTTATCACTTCCATTTTACCAATTGGGAAACTGAAGCTCAGAGAAGTTATGCACCTTGCCTGAGGCCAAACAGTGAGCAACCGGGAGGATCAGGATTCATACCCAGGCAAGCTTGACTCCAGAGCCTATGATCTCCTTCACTCAGCTATGAATGCCTAGTGCTACCAGCTGCTTTTCTAACTCCTGGGGTACACATAGTGGGTTATTTGCATTAACAGACCTGCCATTGCTCCTCTGACCTGGATCTGTAGTCACGTCTGTGTGTAGACATAATATGTCTGCTCTTGATACTAATTTTTTTTTTAATATTTAAAGAGAATATACCTGTATTCTTTCTCCAGTATCCAGCATATTGTCCCTAATATAGACATACTTAAATTTCTTGGGCAAGCATACTTCACTTGACTGATTTGGTAACATGGTGTAGAGGTTGCCTGGCTGACCATCACCAGAGTGGAACAGTATTGCTGATACTCAGGGTTATTACAGTCCTGCATGTTGTATGGTCTAGAGAGCAACCCATTTTTGTGTCCCCAGAACAGAACCTTAAGTTGAGTGCTCAGTAAATAGTCATTGAAATATCTGAATCTCACCCCTCACCCAGCCCCCTGTTACGGTCAGAGTGTGTGTGAAGCCCCCTGCACATCCCTAGAAGGCTCTGGTGCCCACTGGTTTTCAGCCACCTTCCCAGTGGCTTGCTCACTCATCCTTGAATGCTTTTGAGTGCTTCCCCTGTTCTGTTTTTTTTCTCATAAGCCTCTGCCCCCTCCTGTTTCTTTGTTTGTCTACTTTCTTCTGAAAGGAAAAAAAAAAAGTAAGCACACTTAAACTTTTAGCATTTTTCCCCTTTATTCTGCTTCCACTGCCTCTGTGACTAAATGCCCAGTGAGAAGGACCAGAGTGGCAGGACTTGCTGTGCCCAGTGGGCCCGGTGCTGTGGAGCCAACTAGTGAGTCACTGTATTTGTGCAAGACTAACATGTTCTCATTTTACACTCCTACCAGTTCTCTGGGAGTTGTTAACTAAGCAGCAAAGGCCGATCAGTGGTAGATTAAAAAGATACAAGCGCACATATCATTAGTGCCTGCTATTCTGTGGCTCACTTATTCCAGGAATAAAGAGTCTCACTCTTTAAAAATTACTTCTAACAAATGGTTCAAAATATAATACAGAGTTTTTATAAATAATAATAAATATAAATAGTAATAAATAATTCAGGATTCTTCCAGCACAAGATAAGCCAAAATGTAATGCAAGGTAAATAAGAGTGCTTACTGGTTTAGGAACCGATGGTCGTATTTGTTCCCTAACTAGCTCTCATGAGAAGTGGTATTTACTGACCACGAAGTGAATGCATGTCCGTGTGGGCTTCTGCAAGGGAAGAATTCCACAAATCACAGCCCGCTCTTACAAGTTACTTAGAGCGCTTCTTCAACTGATGACTTGAGCCCAACAAAATGGCTGTGACTAACTCAACTTCATTTAGTTTCCATGATGTAATTTTCAATAATGTGTTCCCCATATACAAGTTACCACCTGGGCCAAGGCCCCCGCAGCCCCAGTTGGTTTCATCTAGTCCTCTGTAGATAAGGCTCTGGTCTCTGTGCTGCAGGCACAGAGTATTTCTACCTCCTTGTTATCTTTTCTGAACACCTGGAGTGCAGTCCTTAAAGGTTTGAGGATTAGAGCAGGTGGAGGCAGTGATCAATGATTAATCAGCTAATTCCCTCCACAGGCAGGAGATAATAGGTGATAACAGTTCCACAGCCCAAGGAAACTGGGATGTGACCTCTTCTTTCACCCCAGAAGTTACCAAGACAGACTTGCTTCCTCTTTCATATCGGCATTTACTTTTCTCTCTCTTATTTTTGACTTTTTCTGTATACCTTTTCTATTTCTATTTGCCTCTTTCTATGCCCCCTTTTTCCATTTCTTTTGTTTTTACCTTCCTCTCACTTTCTCTCTTTCTCTTTCACCGTCCCCTCTCCATCCTCTCCAGGTCATTATAGCTTTTCTTTTCTTTTAAATACAGTAATTACGCTCAAACACAGGTCATCTTTATGTATGCTAGGGCATCGTTTTTTCAGATTGCAATCTCAAAAATGTGTGGGTCATGGAGCAGGTATACCCAGTGAGAGTAAACAGAACTGAACTGAATACAACATAAATGTGCATAGCACATCCTAAGGATAAATCCTGTCTTACAAAACTTGTATTTCTATGCAGAACTGAAGTATGTGTATATATGTGGACTGGTTTACCATTCAACGTGCATTTCTTACTGTGGGTCATAGTTGCAGTTTGGGTGTATATGAATGTACCT